TCCCTCTGGTTATGAAAATTTCAATGAGTCTCTCTCTCGGGTGAGACAGATAGGGACCGTGAGGGAATATCAGAATGAATTCTAATGGTTGGACACACGAGTTCATGGCTGGCCGGAGGCTGCCCTGGTAGGATGCTTTATAGGGGGCTTGAGAGAGGACATTCGCATAGAGGTGAATACCATGCAACCGACTACCCTGATGGCAATAGTTGGGTTGGCCAAACTTCAGGAGGAGAGATTGGACCAGCTTAAGAAGTTGGGTAGACCTAATGGACCTCAAGCGGGCCTGACTCAGAAGGGACCTTATCCCAAGGTGGATCCGAGACCTAGGCCTCTACTTCCAACTCCTGTTACTCCCAAGCTGGTACTCTTACCAGCTCCGTCGAACAGAAGGCCTGGAGCTATGATCCTTCCCTACCGGAAGCTGTCTTGGACGGAAATGCAGGCCTGTAGGGAGAAGGGCCTCAGTTACAATTATGACGAAAAATTCGTCCCAGGCCACAAATGCAAAGCCCAGCAGATATATCTTCTACAAGTAGAAGGAGAGGATGACTATGACACCCAAATCGGTGACCCAAAGGTTCAGCAAATGGAGGTGATCCCAGAAAGTAGAGTACTGCGTTATATCCCTTCAGGCCCAAGCTGGATATCAGGCCCCAAGGACCATGCGAGTGCAAGGTTTGATCTCAGGGAAGAGAGTGGCTATCTTGATTGATAGTGATAGAACCCGTCTCCCCGTTTGCAGTTAATGTCGCCAACGGCCACCAATCCTCTTGTAATGGTAGGTGCAAGTCAAAAGAATTGAAGATCCAGGGGTACAAATTTCATGTGAATTTATACCCGTTAGAATTCACTGGGCCAGACATTGTCTTGGGCATACATTGGCTTCAGTTGCTAGGCCCGGTAGTATGTAATTGGGTCGACTTGATCATGCAATTTAATTATGAAGGAACTCCTACATGTTAAAAGGGATTAAGGCCCAACCCATAACTGCTGATAGCTTAGAGGTGGTTCTCAAGACCTGTCAACAAGAGCCCATCCCATTATTGATGAGCATGGGCTTTATGCCTACTGGGTCCATTCCGCTCACAGGAAACACAAGCCCCACCCCAAGCCAAGCCCAACAGCTCCAACTTTTGCTTCAGTCCTACTCCGACATCTTCCAAGAACCCACCTCATTACCACCCACCTGGGACCATGACCATCGGATTCCTATCCAGCCCGGAGCCCCACCCGCCAACGTTAGACCCTTCCGCTACCCCCATTATCTAAGGGTAGAGGTGGAATGTATGGTGACAGAGCTGTTAGACAAAGGTGTTATCAGGGCCAACAGTAGTCCCTTTTCCTCCCCAGTAATTTTGGTAAGAAACAAGGACGGGAGCTGAAGATTCTGTGTGGACTATAGAGCCTTGAACCGCATCACGGTCAAGGACAGGTACCCCATACTCTTGATCGACAACACCAGTTGTTCGCTAAACCTTCAAAATGCTTGTTTGGACATACCCAGATCAACTACTTGGGGCATATCATTTCTGGAGGACAAGTTTACATAGACCCAGAGAAGATAAGTTGCACGATCTATTGTTCTCGACCCAGCTCTCCACGGGCTCTCAGGGGGTTCTTTGGGCTGACGGGTTACTACCGCCGATTCATTAAAGGATATGGGGTTCTTGCCGCTCCCCTTATGCGGTTGCTGAAGAAACACTCCTTTGTGTGGGACCAACAAGCTGAAGAAGCATTTCAAGCCCTCAAAGAAGCCATAACCACTCCACCTACACTAGCTCTTCCAAATTTCGATTTGGAGTTTGTAGTAGAGGCTGACGCCTCAGGTAAGAGAATCGGGGTTGTGTTGTTGCAACAAGGCCGGCCCTTGGCCTATTTCAGCAAGGCTCTTTCACTACAGGCCCAAGCTAAGTTCACTTATGAGAAGGAGCTCATGCCCATTACTTTGGCGGTTCAAAGATGGAGGGCATATCTATTGGGCTGAAGGTTTACTGTCAGGACAGATCACCACAACATTAAACACTTGTTGGAGCAGCGAGTTTTGGGCCCAGATCAACATAAATGGGCTTAAAAATTAACGGGGTTTGATTTTGCAATCTAATACAAGTCTGGGGCTTCTAATGCAGTAGCAGATGCACTCTCTAGAGCTGGTGAGTTTAATTTGATGGGCCTGTCATAGCTGAATTATCCACTACCTTCCCAATTAAAGTAGGAAGCCCAGGATGATCCTCACTTAGCCCAAGTTCGGGCCCAAATCCTTGAGGAAGCAGCACAGGTCCCAGGTTACATAGTCCGGAATGGCATACTCTTCTACAAGGGCCGAATGGTGGTTTCTGGGGAATCCAAACATCACTAGGAGCTACTTCAACTCTTCCATAACTCGGCCCAAGGGGGACACTCTGGAGATCTCCGCACCTATAAACGCCTGGTAGCCCACTATTACTGGAAAAGTATGAAAAGGATGGTGCAAGAATTTGTGGCCTGATGTACTATATGCCAGCAGCAGAAATATAGCACACAGATTCCGACAGGGTTGTTGCAACCTCTACCCATTCCGGATGGGGTATGGGAAGAAGTCACTATGGACTTTGTAACTGGGCTGCCCACGTCCCATGGAAAATCAGTGGTGTTGGTGGTGGTGGACCAACTAAGTAAATGTGCTCACTTCATTAGTCTTTCCCGACCCTATTCAGCAACTATAGTGGCCCATGCCTACATCCGAGAGGTAGCCAAACTTCACGGGACACCACAGTCCATATTAACAGATCAGGACCCCCTCTTCATGAGTGCCTTTTGGAAGGCATATTTCACAGCTCAAGGGGTTCATATGTTGCATTCTACTAGCTACCATCCGCAGACAAATGGACAATCTGAAGTCGTCAACCGTTGCTTGAAGACATACATGAGGTGTTTTGTAGGTGATAGGCCCAAACAGTGGGCCTAGTGGCGGCCCTGGGCTGAATATTGGTATAATACCACATTCCAGGTTTCAGCTGGAACGATGCCCTTTAAAGTGTTATATGGTTATGAACCTCCTTCCATTCTGTTGTATGAGCCGGGTACTTCGTCGGTTGCCGAGGTAGAGACACAGTTACATGCAAGGGACAATACTATCAAACTCCTCAAATTCCACTTGCAACAGGCCTAGCAACGAATGAAGTTAGCCTATGATAAGAAGCATCGAGAATTAGAGTTCTCAGTTGAGGATTGGGTTTATCTACGACTCCAATCGTATAGACAGACCTCCCTGGTGAGGAGGGCATCCTAGAAGCTATCTCCTAGGTACTTCTGCCCATTTTAGGTGGCAGAGCGAATTGGGCTTGTGGCCTACCGTGTCCACTTGCCTGCTGGGTGCCAGTTGCACCTCGTCTTCCATGTCAGCCTTTTGAAGCCATGCCTAGATTCCAGCGATGTTATCAGCCCCACCCTTCCACAATTCACAGAGGAAGGGGAAGTGATGTTTGAGCCACTACTGATCAAAGATCTACATTGGGTTCGCAGGGGCAGTAAGGTCTTTAAACAGACCCTAGTCATATGGCGTGGCTTACCTTAAGAGGATGCCACGTGGGAGGACTATGACCAACTGCAGAAGCAGTTCCCTACCCTCAACCTTGAGGACAAGGTCATTCTTGAAGAAGACGGGAATGCTAGGCCTAGCGGAGGAGAAGATCCAGGTGGTGCAGGTCAGGCCCATCAGGCCCATGCGCCAATCCAGAACAACCCAAGGATCACGTGAGTGACACCACCCATCACACTCGTATACAACCGATGTTCACGTTTTGAAAAGTAACCATGTACTGAGAACAGTGATCATGCACTGAGAAATTGTCAAAATCGGTTATAGTTGTTAGCTGGCCATTTGTTATATAGGCCCATTTACGAATGCATGAAGGGAAGAATGAATTATTGTGATTCCCCCCCTCTTTCTCCCTCTCTCCCCGAACCAGCTCACCAGTGATTACGCAGTAGCAGGGCTTATCAAATTGCTGACTGTCGTAACTTGTAATTTTATTTCTCTCTATGCACTACTCATGTTACATGTCATTCTTGTAATCTAGTAGTTCACAAGCTTGCTCAATATGCCATTAGTCATAACAGAGCCAAGACCTAGTCTATCTTACCAGAATTTCTGCAATCTATGGTCTCTCTTGAGATGTAATTCTCTTGTTGTTTGTTGAATGGAAAAAATGAAAGTATACAATAAAGAATGGCAAAACAATATTCATGTAGCTGGCCCCATAGTTAGGATGGTGTAAATGATGAAGATGATTCATATCTTTTTGGGTTAGAAGAGGTTGAACCTAAAAATATTGTTTTCAAACCATCATTGACTTAGATGGTCGGACCATTCGGCCCAAGAACCATTTAGGTAATTGGTTCTGTTTCACCTTTAAACTAGTCTTTGGCCAAAAACTGTTGTCTTGGTCAGTGATTCATTGGCCCATGCAGTCGAATTGTCGATCCATTCTACCCAAACAACAATTTTTGGAAATTTTTTATTTTAAGTTAGAATGGGTCATCATCTATTCAAACTGAGCGGACGAACTGCTAACCCAAAAAACGGTGGCCAAAGCGATTTCGATTCTGGATTGGATTTTAAAACCTTGCCTAAAAATGACTATGATACCTTTCATCAAAACATAAGTCTCACCTATATTTTGGTCTCCCTATTCATATTTAGGAGATCCGATCTAATCCCAACAGGAGTCCCAACAATCAGTTACAATAGTCCTTACAGCCATGCATTGGAAACATCTCTCTTATCATCCATGGTAAGATGTTCTCAATACACAACTGCAATGTCTGTTGTTACTGCTTGTTGGACCCGATTCAAAGAACATGTTGGCTTTTAGCCCCATCCATGTTTATAGTTTTTGACCACTGCCTCATTAAAAAAAAAGGCAGGAGGCAATAAATATAAATTAAACAATGAGTATAGTCATGTTGGATTTTGCTTGAATACCAGCTTGATGTGAATTAATTTTCCATTTGCGGATTTTTATTTCTCTTATTGGTAGGCAAGATGCCAATACATACTTCAATTGACAATATCTTCATGCAGAAACCCAACGTACGTAATGAACGTAATAACTTCAACAAATACACATTAATAAATGGTGATTCCTAGCTAGCAGACATCCATCGAATTTCTATAGACCTTGTTGAACAGAAATTAAAATTCCAGAAGAATCCAGATTAATTGATTCTAGCTACACCTTAGATAAACTAACATAGGGCAAAACCACCGACCCAATCCACAAATTCCCGTTGTTCTCTTCTACTTCGCTGACGAGTGTTAGGGTACTCGTACCAGTCCTACTGTTTAATACCTCCAGAATGTTGCCCTCCTCATCAAACCTAAGGGCTACGATCTCGCCATCAAACCTAGGTTGGAACGTAGCTCCCATACTTGGTTTTCCAGGGTTCAAAGCTACCCAAAACTCTCCTCTACCATTGCTTTTAACGTTATCTGGGAACCCGGGGAGCTGCAGGAAAAACTCCAGGGTTTGGGCTTTGGGACCTCGAAGCCAATATCTCAGAATTCGAGCTTTGCTGGTCTCGGCGATGAGGATGAAGCTGTTATCTTTACTCAGTGCTGCTCCATTTGGAAACGAAAGCCCTCTCCACAACACAGTCAGTTTTTCAGTCTTTGGATCATATTTCATCAGTCTTCCTGTCTCGTCACCACTAAGCGCCTCTATCAAGAACTCCCTATACACATTAATTGTATCAAGTAATGTAAGCATAAAAATTAAGTTAGCTTTAAAAGTCAATTCGCAACTGGAACCGCTTTAGCCATCGATTTTTGGGTTAATAGTTCGATTATCCGGTTTAAACGAATAATCTGTTTTAATTTAAAATAATTAAAATAAAAAAAAATAGTTAAAAACTATTGTTTGGATCAAATTGATCAACGATTCACCGAACAGTCTGACAGCCCAGGCCAACAACGACTCAAAAACACCGAGTCAAACCATTGGTTGGCTTCAGACTCCAAATCAAACAGAGACCGAACCTAAAGAAATAACGAAAATAAAATAAAGTACCATCTTGGGATCCAAATGCTGCTGTCTGTAAAATAAACTATGCCATTGTCCTGATCAAAATCCAAGGCGTTGGTGAACCTAAAGGGCACCCCTTCTGCACTGTTAGCAAGGAGTTTGGCCACCCCACCATCGCGTCCGACCACCATGAGGCCAAAAGACGAGTCTGCAATGTAAAGCTCGCATGTTGCCTTGTTGAACTGCAATCCCAGTGGCCTCCCACATACTAACTCCGTTTCAGGGTCATTTGCGCCATTAAAACAGATGTCTCTAACAAAAATGAAACAGCACCTTTTAGTTTATATATACATGTTATAATTGCTTCAGGAAATTTTGATTTCCTACATATATAATCCTCTCGCTAGACCAGATTTACTGATTCACCAATTTATATATAAACAAAATGAATGCAAAGTTATCAAATAATTCATCCAATTGAGGTTTTAATAATTTCTATATGGTTCAGGCAAGCAAAATTGGAGGAGATAAAAACAAGATATCCCTCCATTAATTTTAGCCTTAAAGTATTAAAGATCTGTGTGATGCACGGACTCGTGTTAAAAACGCAAGCGGATTAGTTGGAGACAAAAACATACACATCAGACTGAATTACCTAACACAGTTGAACACACCAGTATTCAGTACAACTGGGTCCTAGATGATTCCTACATTGAGAACTGGTGTGTTCAACTGTGACAAGTAGTTCAGCCGAGTGTGTATAATTTTGTCTCTAGCTCATCCCAATTGGTTAAAAACATGTCCACATTTGAAGGGTTGAGAAACATTGGGACGAGGAGAGGAGAGAGAATGAGATGAAGGGGCCAAGACCACTTCGTTTTATATATGTGGTAGCAAGTTTTTCATTATCTTGGTAAACACTTTGCAATGCATGTGGTTGAATAGAAATAGAAATAGAAGAAATTAGGTTAGGTTTGAGTCAGTAGATTTAAGTTTTAACATTGAGTTTGGGTCCCTGAGTTCCATTTTTAGGGTTAGCCTTGGGTTAAAAAATACTTTTATTTAATAATAAAAATAGTAGAATAAAAATTTAACTTTTAACCTTTAGAGATGTTATTTGGGCTTTCTAATTGGATTAACTCTAGAAAGCCCAATAAAATTATATAATGGCTCAAAGTCCTTAAACCGTATTAAAAACCACATCATATCAAACCATAATAAAACAGTTTAGTTTGATTTGATTTCCGTATTAAAAACCACATCATATCAAACCATAATAAATTGCATTAAACCGGACCATGATCGAACACCCCTATATATGGGACGTGGGAGTGTTAGGTAGAAAATCCCCACCAATAAAAATCACATAGAATTCAACTAAAATTCTATGTCATTGAAGACCTTGTACTGCATGAATATCTACACCTTTTACAAATTCGACCTTGAACAACTTTGTGTAGCATTATAGTGCAACCTAAAGTAGCATTCAGTGCTGCTGGTTCTTAGGGAGACCATACGTCCGGCATTGCAGAAAGCAATTCTACAAATAAATACGGAGAAATATGGATACACCCGATGCAAAATTCTGAATTCCAGCCCTCTCCCCTATACACCACATCCTGCCCGTGAATTTGGCATCAATTCACGGTCAGGATGCATTCCCCCTATACTATAGGGCTATAAAATTCTGATCTGGGCTGAAAGCGAAATGTTGACTTCCAATCCTCAGCGGCAATATATGCATAACTCGAAATGTGGGATCCATGTGGTTTGTTATGATTGGTCCAATATTCGTAGAATATGTAAATTCAAGGGTTAAGTAGACTGCAATCCACCTCAGAAATCCGAAATTACAGCCCATAAGGATAGTCCCCTAAAAACTGCATCTTGCCCGTGAATTTGATATCAATCCACAGGCAGGATTCATCTGACCAGTACTGTGGGGGTCAGATTTCTGAGGTGGACTGAATTATAAAAACCTAAATTCAAAGGTTTCTTGTTCTGATGTTTCCAAATCGCTATGTATTGCTTGCTATGTAGCCAATGATAAGTGAACACGTCAACGCTCTCTACAATAAATGTGAGGACCATGTATAATAACATTCTTGATTCACTCATGGTTGGTTAGATGATCCACAATACACTGGTGGGAGGAGCATCTGATCATGAGTGGATATATATGGTTTTATTTTGCATTTCTATGTTTGTAAATACTTTCCTTACTTTTTCCTTTAAATCAAACATAGCCCAAGTATATTCACTTTTTTTTTAAGATGGAATGGTGGATGAGATTATTTTAACCATCCAAAGGATTGTAAAAAGGCAAAATTTGTGCTGCATGATATCAGAATGGTTTAGACCAATCCGAGTTCTCCTGTGAATTAAAATTTACAATAGTTAATAACTAGTGAATTAAAATATACATATATATATATATATATATATTCATTTTATAACAGTATAGAATATAAATAGAAGAAAAGACATGTTTAATTATAATATTTTGAAAAAAAAGTTGACTTTAAAATTAAATTGTTAGTATATAACATATATATATATATATGAATGCATAGTTACATATATGTATACTTGTGTATACATACATGCTTACATAAATAAATAACTGTAGAACCACCACTCCATGTGCTGGGGTATACCATGGTGTGCCACTATTTATTTTCATACATTATAACTGTAGAACCACCACTTCCACCCATTTAGCAGAAAATGAGAAATACTTAGGTACCACTCTACAACAAGTTAGGTGGCATTTGGAACTTTGAAAAGAAAACATTTTTTGAAAAAAAACATCCAAACTATCGAAAATGCCTTTTCTTATGAGATTTGAATGAGGTGAAGTTGGTTGAATATTTGGAATTGAAAGGGTGTTCTATAGTTTTCCTCTTTTGAATTAAATGTTGTGTTTGGTTGCAGTGCAATTTTATTTGTATTAGTACAAATTAAAAAGAAAAAAGTAAATTCTCTTTTAATTTTATTTTGGGTTTTACTTTATTTTGTTTTATGTCTTAATTTACTTGTACTGCGATCAAACAAAATAAGCTAAATTTTAAAACAAAAACAAATCAGAATTTACGCTCAAATCATTTGCACTGCTATAGTTTTGTATCACTGAAAAATTATTTACATTGCAACAAAACATAGCCAAAAGGACATTGCCCAAAGCCCAATGTTGATCCCGACTATCTTGGGCGGGGCAGATTGGATGTGGTCCTAACATCTGGCATTTTTTTATACAAATTAAGTGGCTACTGTTAGACTCAAAAACCCATCTTCGTACACTTTCCAACCTGAGATTCTACCACTCCTTTATTTTTTTTCTATTATATAGATTTTGCTCTTCATCCCGAAATTAAGTACTTTTTTCCAATATAAACCCTCTCTTTCAACAGAGAGATGAAAAGTATGTGTATATAAAATACTGGCTTTAATCATACATATATCTTTACATCTTTATTTATATATATTAGGACTTTGATAAGAAACTTAGGGGGGGTGCATGTTCTACAATGTGAAACTTTTTTGTTTTCATTTACTTTTAAAATTGCCACATCAGTTCTAGCTAGAACTATGTTTTTGTAATTTTGAAAATCAAAATCAAGTTGATTTTATTTCAAAGAGCAATTCATGTTTTTTAAAACCATCAAAATAAATGTTCATGATGATGATGGGATGATAAAGGAACTCAAAAGGAAGGTTTTTTAAGTATACCATCTACGACTATGAGGACTGGAAAAGCTTGGAAGAGACCGTGACAAGAAACCAAAAACAGAAACTTGACAAAGATTCTGCAAAAGCCAAAGCTTGATGGATGACCAGTCGACGATTAATTAAATATAGTTGAATTAATTAATAGATTGATTATACATAAATACGTATGCTTGAATGAATGCAGCTGGGTTCTAGACGGTCAGCCGGCGCCGGCTTGGCAAAGAAGATGCATGTATTATTGCAAGTAAAAGCCAAAGCGATCGAGAATGTATGTAGAGAGCTAGCTTTTCATAGTCTTAATAATAATCATAGGTTGAGGGTTGAGACATTATTACCTAGGGGGCGAGGTGGATGCGAACTCGGCCCAACCGCGCGCAGCGCCTTGCCACTTGAGGATCCGACCGCCGGACACGCCCGTGTAGGGGCCTTCTCCGTTGCAGTCAAAGGCGAAGCTCTCGGGGCCGACTGCAGATGGGATTGGAAGGCGGTTATACTGTCTGGTGAGTTGGCTAAAGGCGTCTACTTGGTAAGAAAGAAAGGCAAACGATAGAGATAAGAAGAAAGAGATGGAAAGCACAGGAAGCCACATTTTATAATTTATACGGATTTCCAAAGACTGAATGGTTTCTTGGAGTTTGGATTTCCGCTTGGCCTTGATTAAAATTTAAAAGATATGTCTGAGCACTGTCAATATTTATGCATGTATCCAACAAACTTTCAGAGCTGAGCTCTCTCTGGTACTGCACGATAAATGCAAATGAGTAGTTGAGAGTTGCGACACTATTCCTGCAGGGTTCTGAGTCTGGCTGGATGAGCCCACTACGCAACCACAACCTGAGCCAAGGATTAATTTTTCTTTCTTCGTTTAAGTAAAATATAATATTTGAGGCTCAGCCTCTCACGCAACTGAAATTTATAAAACTTCTTTAATTAGTTCTTTTTTACTCCTATTCTCTCCTAACAAGGAGGATTCCTCTGCCATTTGGACTTCTTCATTAAACAACCACGGAATATGTTCATTCCTTTACCGACAAAAGCACCTGTTTTAGACTATATATGGATAATTCCTTATAGCCCATTTGTCCAACTTGCATAAATTCATAACTAATACATTTGGGTGTAATGTAAAGTACAGCAAATTAAAGAAAAAAATAGTTATTCAAATTACATTTTTGTCCGATAATTAATTTAATCAAAGGAAAATTATACACCCTCATTCACCATTTTAGTAATAGTATAGGTAGATTTTAGATGGATGAGAGACATTTGATGGGGAAGATGTAAACACTGCTACGGGAGGTGACTTATTGCTTCCAACACCACTTTCGAATCCAAAGGCTATGAGCTTTGCCTCTTCCACTAGCCTGGAGTCTGAAAATTGGCTTTCAAATGCACCTATAAACGGAGTCCGGCTTCAATCAGGGCAAAACCCGTTCAAGCAGCCTAGGAGAGTGTCTCTACTCCCCTAGGGGTATGTTTTGCCTGTGAAGCAAGAGCAGTTCATCCCAACTCATTGGTTTCCCTAATTAATTGACCCAACCCCCCATACAGAAACAAAGGACCATTCCATTGGAGTTTTGGTGAATATGAGACATTCCAATTAATTAAATTGTGGTACGTAGGCTGGGCTATAGGCCTCCTTGGACTGCCAATTTGTTCAGATATATTGATGGGTCTGGTCATAGCACTATACCTACTACCTACATCCGTCATCCGGTAAGCTGGGCTTCATATTAAATTTCAGTCAGGATTTCAAGTTTCACAACATTTAATTCCACCATTCCGATACTTCTACAAACATTGCACGTTCTGTGCCAATTCAGTTATTGCCATCACATAAGAAGAAAAAAAAAAACTAGCTAAATTTTGAGGGTCGTTCCCCTGCTGCTATTAATGATATTTACTTTGCCATAATAACAAATACTCTAGTTTATGGTTAAGGATTTATAAGGGCACATTGTGATGACAAGATTTTCATTTATATATATATATATTAGCATCTAGTTAATACCTACCACCCTTGGACTTTAGAGTGCTTTGGACCATGTGTTCCTCTCTTAATCTGCAAAAACAGCTAACAGAACAATGAAAGAACACAAATGCATCATGTGCCTTTTATGGCTCTAGTCTTCCATGTTGCATCTAATAATTAATATATGCTTAAGAGCAGATGATGAGGCCAAGAATACTGGGATGATCAAGAGTTGAAAAGTTGGGTGTTGAAATCGTCTAAACCAAGTAGCAGGTAGTACTTTGATTTCGATCCAACTGCATTTTTCATGACTTTTGACCCTGCAAGATTTCTTCAGAGAAATTTAAATTTCTTTAGCCTTTGTTCCTGGTACGGAGGAAAACACCTTTATTAGGCGAAGAATACTTGGTGATGTAGAGTTGAAAAGTTTTGTGTTGAAATCGTCTAAACCAAGTACTTTGATATCGAACTCCATTTGTCATGATTTTTTTTTACTCTGTAAGATTTCAGAGAAGTTTCTTTAGCCGTAGTGATTATTAGTGCAGTGAAGAAAACCCTTTTTCTGGATGCCAAATGCAAATAAATACTTATTTAAATAAACACTTATTCAATAAACATTTTATTTTTAACTTAAACACTCCTAAACATGGCCTAATTATCTCAACTACGGAAGCCTTAAAATGGATTTGATTTTTCAGTAGTCATGGAACCAATCTAAAATTTCATGCTGCAATTTAACACTTATAAAATTCAAGTCATATATACATTTGAGATATGGCATTAAATAGAACGAAATGCCAAAACAGGATTGAAAATAGTCAACCCCATATATAGTTAGAATTAGGCTCAGATGATGACGATGATGATGTAAAAAATTCATGTCCGAATAGTTTGATAATGTGCTGGCAATAACAAAATTAAATATAACTAATTCAATCATATCAAGACATGCAAGCAATCTAAACATCCAAGAGATCTTCTTGGTCCATTTGTAAGTTGTAACCTGTCTCATGTTTCAAGATTTGGGACCCATCAATAAATGGGTACCAACTAAAACATTGACCATGTAAACAAATTGCATTTACCAAATGATCTTTAACCTGTTGACTTGAGCTTTTTTAACTTCATTAATTTTACCCAAGGCCCAATTAAATACAGCCAACTCAGACAGTTATAATCTTTTGAGAATGCATATTTTCTGGAATGTATTTTGGAGGAAAATTGTATTTGATCTGTTGAGTTATGGAAAAAAATAAAAAACAAAGGCCCAATTAAACACAGTCAACTCAGACCGTTATTGTCTTTTGTGAATACAGACTCCTGGGCCCAAACGGCCAAACCCACTTGCTATTTCTTTTTTTTTTCAAACAATTAACCTTTAAGCAATTCTAACTTTCTAAGTATCAGAATTAGATTAAGATAAAAATGAGAATGAAATCTTCATATAATAGATTAGCACAACCTAAACAGAAACGAGTCATAAACCATAGTTTTCAAACCACCGTTTGGCCTGGAACCATTTAGGCAATTGGTTTCGTTTTACCTTAAACTTAGTCCCAGGCTAAAAACCGTTGAACCAGTTAATGATTCATTGATCTGGATGGTCTAACCATTGACCCATTCAACGATTTTTAGTTGTTTTTTATTTTAAATTATTTTAATTTTTTTTTTATCAAAACTGGCCATTCGTTCAAAATTCAAACCAGACAGTTAAATTGTTAACCCAAAAACCAATGGCCAAAACGATTTCTCATTTTTTAAAACCATGTCATAAACAAAAAAGAAGTAAACTTTTGGAACCAAATAAAGCATATCTATTAGCAACCAAAATTATCAAATACACTGATTTACATTTAAGTTTGATGAAAAAGGGGGCTAACAGAAGATTTTCTTTCATGTGGTTCGACAATCTTCGTTGGAAAATAAATAGGAATGGTGTTCAGCAAGTTGGCCAGCTTTTAGTGTGATTATTTGCTTTCATAACAATGGGACCTAAAACCCTCTTTTCAGGAAACAACATGTGTTTCGAAAAGAAAGAAATTTTATAATAAGATCATAGCACTTATGCCATGTTTTTTTTCTCACTGTATTTTGTTGATGTGATTTCAGCATCTATTAGAGAAAAGAGTTGACGTTTTGAAAATCAATCGGACCAGATCAGACGGTCGGATCAGAAAAATCAGGAACCGATTAGGTGATCGGTTTCGTTTTCCCTCAAAATCAGGATTTCTCAAAAAACCATTGATTTTGGTCAACAAATCACTGATCCGGGTGGTTAACCATTCGAACCATTCAAACGGTTTTGACTGTTTTTTATTTTTTTAAATTTTTTGTCAAAATGACCCAAAAACCAAACCCTTAACTAGTTCAATCTCCGGGGTGATTTTAAAAACCATGTTGAAAACTATCTTAGCGTTGAAGTATCCTTTCAAAGTCACACTTGCTTGATGGATAACGGAAAAGAATGCTGCCATGGCCTAGGCTGCTTAAATGGCTAAAACCTAATGACTTATTGCCTTTTCTTTAAGGCTGCATTTGACATTCCTTATTTTAAGGACTTATCTCTTCTTTGCAATTAAAAAAAGAAAGGGACATTTTAATTATAAAAAAGAGATAAATCCTTAAAATAAAAAATGCCAAAAACAGGTGAGGTTGTAAGTTCTTTAATGGCTGAATTTGAATCTCAGTTCAATACTATCCCTCAAATGTTTTACTATTTAATTATTCTTCCACCAAAAAACAAATAAATAAGTCATTCAGTGAAGCTATCTCAGCGCCGTTATCAAAGATAACTGCAGGTATGTCCGAGGCTTCATGTGCCGTACATGAATGGACCCATTCATGGGCTGAGCTCAGACATAGATTTTTTGCTGAAATTTGAATGGGCCCAACTCCAAACCCGAGCCTAAAACGATGTAAAGCCAAACCCGAAGCCCAGCCCGTGAATAAGTTTATACATGAATCTGAATTGTGCGTGAAACCTCAACCCACTTCAAATAATGTAATAATCACATGGATTGCGCACGGCTGCACCATGCATTCCTGATCTTTTGTTTGGTTGCAAAAAAAAAAAAAAAAAGTATTCTCTTTTAGTATATGGTTCATTTTGGCTATGTTTGGTTTGAAGGAAAAAATAGGAAAAGGAAGGGAAAGACAGGAAAACCAATACAAGATTTATAAAGATTTCTCTATCTTTCCCTTCATTTCCCTACATTTTCCTTCAAACCAAATATAACCTTTTTGTTCATTTATTTTTTGCGATTCTTTTTTTAAGCAAACATGTTGTAGAGGATGCAAGTAGGTTTGGGTGTGGGCGAGGCCATTCGTGGAGCTTATCTTATCCACATGTCCTAACTCAAACTTTGAGCATGAACAAGAATTAAGCCCAGAATCCTATTCCTAAACTTAAATTAAAATTTAGAACTATGACAGAATCAAGTTAGTAAAGATTGATTTTGAGCCATGTGTTAGATTTATTATGAAATTATTTATACGTGAGAGGTGCAACCATATATCTTGGGTTGTTTTGGGCCAATGTTGACCCAAACCCAACCTCATCTCAACATTGGGCTTATATTTTGTCTAGGCCCAAAAGTGGTATCCTTAAGCAGGGCCTTGGACTAGGTTGGGCCTCGCTGGCCTAAAGCTCAATCCTCCTTTATTTGCATCCTCGGCAATGGAATGCGCT